CTTTTATACTATCCCAGTTTTTTGTATCACAGTTCATTATAACAGTTACATTATGACCCAGTTTCTCCGGTGCTGAGCTAAGGGTTCCAAGAATAATTCTGTTCTGAGAATCTGCAGGGTCCAGTTTCAAGAATTACAGAAGTCGACACAGATGTCTCAACACTATCTTTATCGTCTAGCAGGACTCTTTTAATTCCTCTACAGAGCTGCAATCAGAAGAACTAAGTTTTTCTTCTCTCCCATTTCCTGTTTCATGAAGACAATAACTGTACTGAATAAATGCAATGGCCGGTAATTCACAAGGTCTCTCAACCTCCCAGACACTGCTATAATGCAATTTGTCAAAATAAACTTTTGGTGTAATTGTGGATTTCTCCTACTTACGCTGTTTATGAGCATGCCTGATGCAAGTGCTCTTTTAAGAACTATAAATAAGCATACAACATAGCTTTTCTCAGATCAGTGCCACTATTGTTTCACGTGCTCTGGAGTGTGTGTACTTCAGCCCTCACTTTCTTCAGGAAGGTGTTTTTCTTGCTGAAGGGACTTCAGCAAGAAGCGGCATCAACTTTGAAAGACTAAGTGAATTCTGCATCTTCTTACTGATCCCCCTTGGCTTTCTCAGCAGTTTCATTCTATGAGGTTCAAAGAGAATCTCCTGATTTCTATTTGAAGTTACATTAACTTTTCCTAGCATGTTTATCCCATGAATTTTTTCATTCAATCACCTTCTGTTCTAACATGAAAATGTCACTGAGGAGAAACAACTAAACTATAAAATCCTCCTAATATCAACTTCACCACTAGCAACATTGTATTTGTTTTTCTGGGGAAACCTTTCACTGGAAGACAAACACACACTTGGGGTTTTCTTTGGGGAGGGGTGTCCTGGGTTCAGCAGTAGCAGTCATGTTTCTCCTTTGTGGTAGCTGGTGCAGTGCTGTGATTGGGCTTCCAGCCTGGGAACAGTGCTGGTGATACCGATGTTTTCGGTTGTTGCTAAGTGATGTTTACCCTGAACAAGGACTTTGTGAGGCTCATGCTCTGCCAGGGAGGAGGGGAAGCCGGGAGGAAGCAGAGACAGGGCGCCTGACCCAGGTTAGCTAAGGGGGTATTCCATACCACAGCACATCATGGCCGGGGTGGGGGGTGACTGGGAGTTACCTGGAAGGACACAGGCTTCTGGGTCAGACTCGTTTCTTGGCCGGTGGTGTTGTATTCTCTTCCCTTGTTATTTTCTCTTATCATTGTTGTCGTTGGTGATAGCGGTGGTGATTTGTGTTGTACATTGGTTGCTGGACTGTTCTTGTCTCAACCCGTAGGAGCTGCACTCTTTCGATCCTCCTCCCCGTTCCTCCGGGAGCGGGGAAGGGGAGACCCCCGTTGGGGGGCCTCGATAGTTGTCAGCCCGGCACCACTCACTGGGAGTGAGTGAACAAGTTGCCTGACTGGGTTTAAACCACGACGAGGGGTTACTTTAAGTCTCACAGAAATCAGTTTGCTGATTGTTTGATTCTTCACACCTTTGAAAGTGAAATGGAGAATTTGTTTTCTTTTGGTTTTGATTTTTTTTCAATTGCTATGTTTTCACAGGAATTTTCATATCATTTTGCATCTGTTCCCACAAGCCTTTAATGAAAGTTCTCTGCAGAGTCTTTTATGCAAACTGGTTCTTTTTAGAAGGAATGGAATAAAAATGATGCAATACCTCTTAACTAAGAAGAAACTGCTGACTGCCTGCAGTCATACTGCATTACTTCACCTGCTATTAACCATGATAAGGGCATAGGCATCATCCACCTATCTAAACCTTTTGATCTGTTTTGCCAACCAACCTGTTCTTTTAAAGTGGAGTTTTATAGTGAACTTTACTTTTTCCATTCATTATTGCAGAGAAAGTATCCCAACCAGGGCAGCTTACAAACAGTGGATGGTGGATGAGTACATTTTAAAATGTTTTCTCTACTTGAAAGCTTTCCAAAGAGAGATTTCCAGCATTTTATTTGGAAATTGCAAGTCTAAATAGAGCTTGAAAACTAGCTCTTCCCTGAAGTAAGCAAACAGCCCAGCATTCACAGAAGTTCTGTGAAAGACAGACAGGCACAACCAATTCTACATGCTAAGCTCAAGGTGAAAATCACAGGTGAGTTTATCTTAAGCCATTCCTCAGCCTGGGGGAGAAACACTAGTAACATGAAACATACTTGTAGTAGTGGCCTCTACTGAGAAAGACCATTAGTCTGTGGACCATTGCAGAGGTTTTCATGGAAGCTATTCCAGGTATTTACTTGCAAAAGCATGTCCTTCCCACACACACTCAGGATGTAGAAATGCTGATACAAAAGAGAAAGGTAATAAAATTGGTGCTCTGCCTTGCATCGGTAGACTACCACTTGATGCTTGGGTTTTTTTCTTTATCTCATCACTAAGCAGAGCATGAGTAATGTGCATGCTGGATTGTCATGGGCGCACTTGTCTTACAAAGTGTTACAGCTCATCTGGTGCCAACTTGGTATCTTGCCACAAGTACTAACAAGGCAGAGCTGGGTTGACTGATTTTTCTCTAGTCAAGATGTTATAAGATTTCCTTGGAAGCCAAATGGAGAACTCACACTAGTCATAAGATCATCAATTAGCTTTTGTTCTACCTGAACACAGTAATATAAAAGCATGTTTCACAATCTGATTATTATCTTTCCGTACCTTATAGAATGGTGACAGAGAAACAGAGCTGAAAACCTTGTTTTCCATAAAACCTGGCAGTTGGTCTGAAAGATGTGCCAGTTTGTACCTGACACAGAACTCTCATCAGGAAAGACATTTTCTTTCATTTTGGCAATTTCACTTGTTTCCTAAGGTTAGGTCATGATTTTGAGGGTTTAGTTGCAAACAATTCATATACTGTTTCAGAGAAGATGTAGTGAGTGCAACTTCACAGAATCACAGAATCGTTAGCGTTGATGATCTCTAGAGATCATCTGGTCCAATCGCACTGTCAAGGCAGGGCCACCTACAGCAGGTTACACAAGAACATGTTCAGGACATGTTTTGAATGTCTTCAGAGAGGGAGATTCCACAACTTCCCTGGGCAGCCTGTTCCTGGGCAAGTTTACCAGGTACCACATCTTGGAGATAATTTAAATAATATGGCCTGAATCAAATAGAAGGACATGTTCTTCCTCTGTCATTGACGACAAAGAAAACATCCTTAATTTTATACTGCGTGGTCCCACTCATCTGTTTAATGAGTGGCTTAACCTGAAGGCTCATGTGTTGATATAATAACAAATTACCTAGTGATACCTATGGTTCCAGATCAGGTTCCATATTTTATCGCCTTCTTGGAACATAGACAGTGTATATCAAGTGTCTGATCATCTAGGAGTTTGTACGTACCACTGATGGGATTCAAACTCTTTTCTGCTCTGGCTTTTCTAAATCCTTCAATTTCTTTAACTTCCTTTTTTTTTTTTTCCTAGGCAATTTGCTCTTAACAGGCTCAAGGACAAGATGTGGAAGTAACTGACATTTTGGAAAACAGCAATCCTGCTGATGAACTAGAGAACATAACCCCCAAAATACAAGAAATCACTGAACTATCACAGTTGTTTTCCTGGATAATTCATCTGTCTAGCAGTGTTAAATGTTCTGAGAAATTTTCATTTATTAAACTAGAACATAATAGCAGCAAAGTTATAGACTGTGTCCATTACACAACAACTAGTATTTCCTGCCACACTGAAAGCTTTGACATCAGTGTGATTACATACTTACATCCTTTCCTCAGAAGACCTGTTTCATTCTGTGCAACTTACAGACGCTTATAAGAATCAGTTGTTTAGCTGTGAACCTACACAGTATTGTTGTCATCCGGCTGGGCAGGTTGTACATACCTTATAGAAAATGAGGTTTCAGGATCGCTGATATGAATCTGTCCCCAAAACATAATTCGCTCCAATTTTATAGGTATGTTTACAACAGAAAGTGAGAAAGAGAACAAAAAGCCTTACTTCTGTAGGTCCTGAAATTAAGTGTCTTAGCAAGGAACACGCTAGTGTCCGGTTGTAACCATATAAATAAAATTGAGGAATTGAGACCTGAAGAAGGGGAAACATCTCAAGAACACCCCCAATTCCTCCTTTGCCCAGAACAGCAACAAGAACAAAGGCTGGTGGGAATGAAGCTGTACAAGATACAGACAGAAGCAGGACAGATTTGATCAGATTTAATACTCCTCTTTCAGTGAGATATAACAGATTTCTATAGTAAAACTAGTAATCCCATTTAAATGCTGTTGTCTACTTTAATAACTTCATTTGCCTGTTCAAATTATTGAAAGGCAGTTGCGACGTTTCTCAGTTCACAGAGAGTTGGTTTGATGGACAAACACCTTTCAGGACACAGGCTCACTCTTCAGTGTCAAGAGCAGTCAAAATAGCAAAAAAGCCTTGGGCTTACTCATTTCAGAGCCTGCTAACAAGGGCAGTTGTGGGTATCTGTGACTGGGCAGTCCACAACTGACTGTGCTAGCACCACACTGTGTGTGCTGACTTTGAATGCAGTTGGAAAGTGGACATTCAGACTCTGAAGACAGAGGACAAAAGTCATTGCAACCTTCCTGGGACCAGGGCACCAGCACAGACAAGTGACATAGTGTTGATTTGGTACACTCAGGGCATTTGCATATGTATTGGAACTTGCCCTGGTCTCTTCACTGAATTCACCCAGCCCAGAAAAATTATTACACATGTCAAGTGAAAAAGTTGTGGAGTCTGGTGATATTGATTTGTTACACATCTACAGGAAATGAGGCTGGATAGTGCAAAGTTGGGAACAGCTGTTGGGAAATCCAGAGCACTGAGCTTATTCTCCTCTCACTACCTGTGACCCTAACCAGCAAGCAGAGAACAGTGTTGTGGCTTAAATGATGATACCTGATCTAGACCTGAACTGAAAGGTAGATGCACATATTCACCTTCATTTGCGGTTCTGCCTAGTAGAAACTCTTATATGAAAAATAAGCGACAGAAATGAGTGAAAAATACGTAAATGAAGTGACAATGAGAGTGTCCTTTTTTTCTCACCTATTTGTCTCCATGGTGAAAAACAACGGCTGTTACCATGCTTTTCCTAGTCACATTACAGAAGTACAGGGTAAGGAAAATGAGGAAGATGTAGGCGGGTTTTTACACCCTATTACATAAGCAGTTCAGAAGAACTTCATGAAATCACATTGCCAAAGTGCACAAAAATACACCACCAAGCCAAATTCACACCTTCCATCCTTTTTGCTCACCATTACTGTAGCAGCCACAAGGAAACGGGTTTTCAAGGAGGAGGTAAGTTTGCTTTTGTGTTTGTCTGGTTTTCTTTTCTATGTTCCTTTCTGGATTTTGTTCGGTTTTTATTTGTTATTCTTTATTTTTATTTTACTCCAAAGAAGCTAGGCAAAGGAACACTGTATTTTGTTATTCCTACTAGCATTAATGCTGTAAAAGAAATGTGAGGGGTAGATAGATACTACCTCCAAATACAAGTTTTGTCTGATGAATCTCTTAGCCAAAATTTTGATTATATGTTTTTTCTATGGTCTGAAAATAATTATATAAAAATATTCTAAAATTAAAAGTTTCCAGTATTACTGGCCTATCCACATAGCAGTATTTTGCTTCTTAAGACCTGCATTACAACACTGAAGAGTGCCTATGTCACTTTGTCTTGAAAACCCAGTCAAACTGGAAATGTTCAAATTTTTAGCTGTCTAAGTCCATAAAGCAAAATCATTGTGCAGAGTGAATCTCTTCTGTACTGCATTTAGACACCAGTAGACTAGAAGTGTGTCAGTGTCCTTTCTCTTATTACAATTTTAAAACAAAGTGCAAGGTTTTGGGATTTTTTCAATTACATACCTTCCTTTTCATTGATTATAAAAATCATAGCAGTACTGAGACATGGTAAGCTACATGGTTGTGTTACTTATAATCAGCAGGTTAGTGGACAGTTTTTATTCTCACCTAATGAGCTCTCTAATCAACCTGGATGAGAATAATCACTACAACAGGATTTCGACCTCATTGCTATTTCCAAACTCCTAACATGACAGTCTCCTGTGGACATGTGTCAGGATTCAGAATTCTCTAAGAGGTAACTGAGTGGCCTGTGCTGTTGCACAGCGTCTAGCAGAAGCTAATTTCATAGAGAGTTTAAAAACCACAGTGCAGAAGGAAAACAACTTCACACAGAAATACTTTAAGTTTTCTTAAGATTTTGATCAATAATCTGCACAGGAATTATTTGATGCTTGTGAGGATACTGAAATGCTTGCACTATGTATTTTATTATCATTGTCAAACAACATAAGAGACAGTTCAGGAGGAAGAGTACACTACAGAGAAACTAAACTGTTTGCATCACTACTTACAGAAAAGGATCATGAGAGTATGGCCTTACCTCTTTTTTAAGTAAATAATGATAAAGTGACAAATATGGAGTTATTAAAAGAGGAGTGGTTAAGCAAGAAGCCATGAGAACAATTTAGCTAGTCCTCAAGTATAAACTAGAAAGAGAAAAACGTCAGTGTCTCCTTGAAAGACCTTAGATAAACAAAGGATACAATAGTGACTGTCTTTGTTATTAGCTTTCATTGCGTCATGGTGCCTGACTTGATTAGAGTTGATTAAATCGTAGTTACGTCTTCAGCATCTCTAACAATGGCAGATAATCCTCATGGTTCAACACAAATAAAATCACAGTAAGCAGGTAACTGCAAGACCCAGACAATATGCAGTTGGGTTTACTAATCAGGTAGCTAAAAAACTACTAAATGAGTTTGCAGATATCTGCATGATTTGTGCATTTATACAGTCTTTCTGCAGAGTGAACATGGGATATTCTGACTGTTCACAGGCATGAATGGGACAGCAATTGAAAATTTTGTCTGTGTCATTTTTAATGTTTCCTTCATGAATTGCACTTGGCATGTGGGCAGGAATGTTTCAGGAGATACCCAGTATTTTCTGCACTGGAAAACCTCAAGGTAAGTCAGTCTGCTTGAATCTAGGGAATTTTGGTTTCTCTCTGACAAGTGACATTGTCAATATTTAACTAATGCAATATGTCATGTAAAGGAAAGAAGACTTCACAGAATGCCAGAATTACATCAAAGATAATTATGGAAGGCACACAGGATGTAGATTCCAAAACGTGACAATAGAAAATAAGGCAGCTTATTTCCTGGTAAACGGTTCTAGAAATAAACAAAACATTCAGTCATATAAGAAGGTGATTTTCCTGTACAAAATTGGTAAGGACTTTTTATTTTCATTATTTTATTTCTAATTTTATGCTAAGGGAATGAAGAATTAATCCCTGGGGGAAAAAAAAAATACATTTTTTAAATACTGCTTTTTCAGAACATGGGTTAGGGATTTTTTTTCTTTTCTCCAGCCTTGATAACTGAAAAGTCAAAAGTGTAAGAATGAACAAAAATAAATGAATGCAGAGACAATCTGAAATCATAAGTCTGGGAACTGTGAACATTTCAGTCAAATATTTATTCTCTGACAGAAAGGTGTCATGTTGCAGAATAACTAGCTAAGGATGCCTGAGTGGGACTACCTAGATCTCATAGTTCTGTTCATCCACAAGATATAAAAGAATCAATTACCTTAATATTGTGAGCAAAAACTTTCATTTTTTAAATGGAAGAATTTTGCTAATATGAAAAAAAATTAAAAAAAAACCCTCCGCTTAATATGAACACAGTCTATAAAAAACCCTGCACAGATTATATGTTGAATTCAGTAAAATCTAAGCAATTGCTTGTATTTTTTAATTTTATATACTGTTGTTGCTGATACTCGGGGTTCCTCATCTAGAGTGTTAAATCAGAAAGTTCTGTTTCAGAATATGGGGTGAAATATAAAAACTCTGGTAGAGCTGCATTAAAAATTTTTAATCCAGTTGCTTGAACATCTACCTATATTTTTAAAAGGCAGAGTGAAGAAAGTGATTATTAATCATTAGTATTTCTGATTCTATTATTGTAGAAAAACTCACCCCTCCATCAAATGTCACTGTGAACTGTACAGAAGCTTCTCATGGTTGTGAAATTCAGTGGCAACCACCTCGCACAAGTCATGTGAAAAGACGTGATTGTTTCAAATATGAAATTGTCATAGAAAGTAAGGTGAGAATAATAATGATTCTTAATAGTATTTTGTATGCTTTTATTTCCACACATACCACCATACAACCAATACCCAGTTCTTTTTCCCTATTTGACTAATCTCTCCTTTTTGATGTGTAGTGTCCCTCTTGCACACGAGCTGAGGACTGCTGCCCCTCACAGACAGCATCAGCAAATTAAGGGAATACTTCCAATCCACTGTACAGCTGGTCAAAAATAAATACATTTTTCTCTTGTTACTAGGCTGATCCTGAGAAAAACATCAGAAACACATCTAGAACAGTAAGTCTTTATTACGGTATAAATCTATTGTTTATGCTGGGTTGACATTTTATCTCTATCAGAGCATCCTCCAACCAAATTGTTTTGGTTTCTCACTGCCAGTTTCAGCGTACTCTGTATGCTGTTTTTTGACAAGTTTCCTAAATTCAAAGTTTTAAAATGTTTTTTTTCTAAAGCATAGTACAAAAAACACCTGCATATGTGTAACTTCATGATACTTCTATGCAAGTCACAAAACCTTCCATTTTACAATCTTTTGTAATTCCTACTCAATTATATATATGCAGAAATATGATCCGTAATTCCACATTACACTCAAGACACAAAAAATGTGGAGAACTTTGTTCTTTATTAATAATGTCTGGAAGGGGTTGAGATGGAGGAGGCAAGAAAATACCACCTGAAAGATTAAGCCAGTGTAAAGAACAAAGACAAAAGTATGTAACCAAGTTTTCAAGAAGGCTCAATATTCTTCTGAGAAGGATTTCAACATATGTAGCAATTTTCACTTTTGTGTAATCTGGCCATCAAACTCTATCTCAGTTTTGAAAACATCCACAGTAAGGGAATGCCAGACCTTTAAAGAGCTACCTTATAGTAAAATAAGCCCATTACAGACTAAAAACAAACTATTGTTTTGTTTTTTTTTTCCCCAAATCCCTTTTGTTTATCGAAGACTAAGGAGTCAGAGAAACATACTTCATATTTCATCTTCATATCACCACCAACAAAATGTTCAAACAAAAGGAATTAGGATGAAACAAGCTAATTTACTAAGTGTTTGGGTTTTGTTATTTCACTCTAATCTGCCCACAGGAATACACGTAAAATTTTCCTTTGTAATTTTTTGCATCATTGAATGAACCTGACATATTCTTAACATCTGTACATCTAGTTAATAAAAAGTTCTCAGTCTAGCTGTTTTGCATTTAGGCAAGCAGCATCACAGGAAACTCCTACATATTTGGGAGCTTCAGCACAGAAAAAAGGTACAGCGTCAAAATCAGAGCAACTGACAATGGTTGTTTAGTGAGCAACAGCTGGGGAGAGTGGAGTACACCTGTAGAGTTTGGTAAGAATAAAAATCACTACCCTGCCTTAGTTTTCCCTCAGTTATTATTTGTCTGCCTCATTTATTACTTCATACTTAGAGATGAAAACACATTGATATTTGCACATTAATATACTACAATAAAAAGTTAAGAATTTGCCTATCTCAGTATGAATGAGTTCTCCAAGCATTCCGGTGTGACAGTGGGTGCTTCTTGCAAGGAGATAGCGATTGAAGCAAAACTCTTTGAGATCTGTTGTCAGCTTTTTTCTTTCTACCATTTATACCTCTGGCTTTATAAACTTCTGTTTTCCCCGTTAATGCTCTGCCATCCTGGATTTTGAAGGACTCTGTAGGCCTCAGTTCCTCACAAAATGCTTAGTAACATCTCAAATCGCCACACTCCACATACTGTCAGCCCCATTCTTTCACATGTTATGGGGCAAGGAGGTGCTAAGCTAAATAAGTGACTTCATCCTGATGCTTGATGCTATAACGCAAAGCAGATTGCACATAGATGTGAAATCATTCCTCTTCTGTGATACTAATGAACACTTTGATGACTTCTTGTCTTTCAGGAACAAGCCAACTTACATCTGCTTCATCATATATGTTATCTCTGATATCAGTGCTGCCAGTAGGCCTTGTACTTTTTCTCTGCTCAGTGTAAGCTTTATTCCTTGTCCAAAGATTTTATTCTGTAGCTGAAATAACACCACTTTCCCCCCACAAAAAAATTTATGGCCTCTTTCTAAATGAGAGGAGGGAGGGGGAAAATCAACACAGAACTATAGCAGGAATCTTGACCCTCAAATTGGTTCTATATTTCTGGTTCCTAACCTTCTTACCCACTTGATCTGTATAACACAAAACTTTCTGATACTGGGACAAGGCCTTATATCATTGCTGCTTTCCTGCCATTAGACCCTGTAATGTTTTTTGCTTTGAGAATATTTCACATTCAGATACTTAAAAAAGCAATTTCCAATCATTCTCTAGTAAGTAATAAAATAAATTATTATAATTCAAATTCTGAACAATGAAATGACACCATTGTGTTCAGCCTATGTAATTTTGTAGTTACTTTTTCACTACTTTTGTCCTTGAGGAGTAAAATAATACCTCAGGAACACTATTATATGGTTACACTAACATTTTTTCTGCACCAACCCTTTTTTGTCACTGTAGAAGATCTTATTTGAAAAAAGCATCTGCTATAATACCACGGCCAAGAGACCCATTCTATGAGCTCTGCCCAATAGATTTCAAGGTATGTCTTCTTTCCATTTGACTGAAATTTGTTGTAATTAAGGATCCACTGCAGTCTCAAAGGTATGACCTAAATGCCAGGAAGGTGCACAAAAGTAAGGATAATTTTTTTTTTTGTTCTTGAGACATTGAAAGAGAAGGTCAATATTCTTCTATTCTCCCTTTTCCATTCTGAAACTGTGGTCATTCATCTGCCTGAAGCATTGGAGAAATTACATTTTCACCCTGTTCTCCCTATAAGCCACATGCTATCACTAGAATAGTGCTGAGCATAAACTTCTCAACACATTAATAATACAGACTGTTGGCCAGCTGTGAGGAGAAAAGGGACAAAGAAATCTCCTGCTGGACAAAAAGAGTTGTGCCGTAGTAGATATTGACATCCATGTTGGTATTTGGCAATGATGCTGAAAGAGGAAAGGTTCTTAGGATATGGTAAGCAATAAAGTGTAACAGAGAGCTGAGAGGTTCTAGCTTATGCAGAGATGGAGAGACTTGTAAGCAGCAGCAACTGACAGGCATAGCAAGAGCTACCCATCCAGATATGGAACTGCCCATCTAGAGAGCATGCTGCAGTTTCATCCACATTGCAATATGCAGTCTTTTAGTTGGCTACAGCCAGGTCTGGAAGCAAGAATGTATCTGCAAGGACAATGGATCACTGGTGGGCCTGTATGCATCTTTTTATTTTCTGTTCCTTCATCATGTTAACATTTCTATGTTGCAAAATATGAGTTTTCTGGCTTTTGACTTGAAAAGTCTTTTGTTCCACTCTAGGGAGCTCATCTTGGAAGGAAGACCTAGACATGTCTACTTCCTCCCATTGATGGAGTCCCATTGTAGCTTCTATTTAACAAATTACAAATCCCTGAATGACAGGAAACTTAGAAATTGTAATCTCATGGCTAATCTTGTGCATGAAACACTAACAAAATTTTTTATTCTTCTTTTAATAGACAGAATATAAGAATCAGTCAATAATGCATGAAACTGAAGAAACAATAGTAATTATTGAAGAAGTGACATAAAGGCATGCAAGAGAAAGAAGCAACCTGAATTCTTTCAAACATGTATACCTTCTTGATAAAACACAGCACTGAACCAGCTACTTGAAGTAAATTAACTCTATCTACCCCAGCTTCAACAAGGACAGCAGCAATTTATAGGTTTCTCATATTTTTTCCCTCTTGCAAACAGAGAGAATGACGTTTCTTGTAGATGTAATTCCCCAAGAACTTATCTTTAAAAGCCTCTCTCTATTTGACTGTATTTTCCATGAATAATTTTGGTTGTTTGGACTATTTTTGTTTTTTTCTTATGTCCATGTTTCTGATGGGGTAGAGTTAATTTTCTCCCTAGTAGCTGGTGAAGTGTTGTGGTTTGGCTTTACTCTGACAACAATGCTGATAACACACTGATGTTTTAGTTGTTGATCAGTAGCACTTACCCTGATCAAGGACTTTTCAATCTCTCATGCTCGGCCAGTGGGAAGGGGCAAGGGAAGCCAGGAGGAAGCAGAAACAGGACACCTCATCCAAACTAGCCAAAGGGGTATTCCATACCACAGCACATCATGCCCATTATATAAACTGGGGGGAGCCACCCAGAAGGCCCAGATAGCTGCTCAGGTTGGGCTGGGTATTGGTCAGCCACTGGTGAGCAATTGTATTGTGTGTCACTTCTGTTTATTGGGCTTTTTTCCTTTCCCCTTTTAGTTTTATATTCTCTCCCTTTGTTATTTCCCTTATCATTATTATCACTATTAGTAGTAGTACATTGGTGATTAAACTGTTCTTATCTCAACCCATGGGGTTTACATTATTTCAATTCTCCTTTAGAGAGGGAAAAGGTGGGGGGGGTGAGTGAGCAGCTGTGTGATATTTAGTTACTGACTGGGTTTAAACCATGATACCATTTTTTGGCGCCCAACATGGGGCTGGAACAGTTGAGATAAAAACAGATCTTTTATTTGCTCTCAGAACTGGTCAAGCTTGATCTCAGATTTGCATTATCTAATACCTTACTTTCAGTATGCTTTCCCTCCAGTGATATTTATCATCCATGGGACCTGGACTAAGGCTCTCACTTTGGTGTGCTTTATAGTAATGGCTTGTGATACGATAGAATTGCTGGTTGTGAAACCAATCTGGTATGTGTATTAAGCATTGCCATCACCTCTATATTTTTGGAGCCACCTAATTGAAACTATTAATAATTATACCTTTTGCCTTTTCTCCTTGGAGGGCCAACATGTGGAGGAGACCTCCTCCCATATCTTCCCCTTTGCCACCAGGCTATTTACAGTAGCATTTGAAAATTTTAAAGCTTTTTAATATCCTTTGGATACCACTGAAACACCACATAGATGCTCGTGTACCCAAGAGTTGGGCCACTGAGGAACACCAGAACAACCAACAGGTGGATCAAGTTGCTAAGATTGAAGTGGCTTAGATGAACTTAGATTGGCAACATAAAGGTGAATTATTTTTAGCCTGATAGGCCCATGACATTTCAGGCCAACAGAGCAGAGATGCAACATACAGATGGGCCCGTGATCGAGGGGTGGACTTAACAATGGACACTATTGCCCAGGTTATTCATGAGTGTGAAACATGTGCTGCAATTAAACAAGCCAAGCGGTTAAAGCCTCTTTGGTATGGAGGACGATGGCTGAAGTACAAATAGGGGGAGGCCTGGCAGATTGATTATATCACACTCCCATCAACCCACCAAGGCAAGCGCCATGTGCTTACCATGGTGGAAGCAACCACCGGGTGGCTGGAGACATACGCTGTGCCCCATGCCACTGCCCGGAACACCATCCTGGGCCTTGAGAAACAGATTTTGTGGCGACACGACACCCCAGAGAGAATTGAGTCAGACAATGGGACTCACTTCCGGAATAACCTTACAGATATTTGGGCCAAAGAGCATGGCATTGAGTGGGTATATCACATCCCCTACCACGCACCAGCCTCTGGGAAAATCGAAAGGTACAATGGGCTGTTAAAAACTAGACTGAGAGCAATGGGTGGGGGAACTTTCAAACATTGGGATACACATTTACCAAAGGCCACTTGGTTGGTCAACACCACCAGAGGATCTGCCAACAGGGCTGGCCCACCACAGTCACAACTTTTACATACTGTAGAGAGAGATAAAGTTCCTGTGGTGCACATAAAGAATTTGCTGGGGAAAACACTCTGTGTGATTTCTTCTTCAGCAAAGACAAAATCACTCATAGGATTGCTTTTGCTCAGGGACCTGGATACACCTGGAGGGAGGATGTGGGAAGTACAGTTTGTATCTCAAGGAGATTTGATTCTGGGTGAAAATGGCCAGCCAATTGAACTGTATGATGACGTATAACATTTGATATTATCACTTCCATGGCCGCTATACACCCATCACTGCGCTGAGCACCTCGTGGCACCCATCTCCATCGTTCCAGATTTGCGAATCTGAACCTGACACCCTTTTGATCACCACATTAACAAAGAATGAACTTTGACAAAACTGGGGAAGGGCAGCTGTAAGGGAATGGGAGTGAGCTTCAGCATGCAACAACCCAACACCACACATCATTCATCTTGTCTGTCCAGAGAGACTGTTACAACAGATGGAGCCCCAAGTCATGGTCTGAATGAACTCAGCAAACATTTGTAGAGATGGTCCGTAGACTAGGGAAATGATATCTGTGTGTATATATATCTATCAAAAGACAGGAAAAGTGATGGTGGGAAGTGTCATACCTGTCATGATGTGAATGATATTGAATAAGGTATGGATACTGTCCAGGTTTTTCGTTAGTATAGAGTCAATTTTCTCCCTAGTAGCTGGTGCAGTGCTGTGTTTTGGCTTTAGTCTGAGAACAATGATGATAATGCACTGATGTTTTAGTTGTTGCTAAGTAATGCTTACCCTGACCAAGGACTTTTCAGTCTCTCATGCTCTGCCAAAAAGGAGGGGCTCAAGAAGCCAGGATGGAGCAGAGACAAGACACTTGACCCAAACTAGCCAAAGGGATATTCCATACCACAGCACATCATGCCCAGTATATAAACTGGGGGTAGTCACCCAGAAGGGCAGATCACTGTTAGTCTGGCTATTGGTTGGCAGGTGATGAGCAATTGTATTGTGCATCACTTGTGTTCATTGTTTTTTTTTTCCTTTCCTCTCTTAGTTTTATATACTCTCCTCTTGTTATTTCCCTTAACATTCTTATTATTAGTAATAGTAGTAGTAGTAATATATTGTACTTTAGTTATTAAATTGGTCTTATCTCAACCCATGGGGTTTACATTCTTTCAATTATCTGATACCTGTCAGCAATCACATTTTAAGCTATTTTTTTCATCTACCACAGATATGAAGTGATGAAAAGTAGGAGGAAATTTTTGGTTTTGTAAATGGCTGTGAGCAACATTTAGAGCATGTTGTGCTGAAGGATGTAGCAACATAATTTGAAGGCAACAAATAGATTTATGAGAAAATTGTCTCCAGAACACTTGTCTCCTGAACAATACTTGTATGAGAAAATGGTCATAGATTCATAGAATGGTTTGGGTTTGAAGAAACCTTAAAGATCATCTAGTTCCAGCCCCATGCCATAGGCAAGGACACCTTCCACTAGACAGGGTTGCCCAAAGCCCCATCCAACCTGGCCTTGAGCACTGCCAGGGATGGGGCAGCCACAACTTCTCTGAGCAACCTGTGCCAGTGCTTCACCACCCTCACACTAAAAAATTTCTTCCTAATATCAAATCTCCCTTCTCTCAGTTTAAAGCCATTCCTCCTTGCCCTGTCACTACGTGCTCTTGTAAAAAGTCTCTATCCAGATTTCTTGTAAGCCCCCTTTAAGTATTCGAAGACTTTTATAAGGTCTCCCCTGAAACTTCTGAAGGCTGAACAAGACCAACTCTCTCAGTTTGTCTTCACAGAAGAGGTGCTCCAGCAGCTGACCACAACACTTTGAGTGGGAACATCCAGCTAATTCCTTATCCACCAAGTGGTCCATTGTCTTTCCAGTATAGAAGCACGGATGCCATGTGGGACAGTGTTAAATGCCTTTCACGACTCCAGGAAGATGATGTCAATTGCTCTTCCCTTGTCTACCAGTGCTGTAACCCTGTTATAGAAAACCAGCAAATTTGTCAGTCATGATTTGCCCTTAGTGAAGCCATTTGGCTGACACCAATCACCTCCTGGGAGTAGGAATGCGATTAAGGTATCCTTTTCCTATCTGAGGGCAAAGACCCAATATAACACTCAATGGGAAAGGATGGTAACAGACTTTGGTAGCACCATTAATAGCACCAGCTTTGCTTCAGAATTTATTTTTTTTAATTTGTTTCTATTTTTTGAAAGCCTCAGCAAAGAAATCCCCTGTGTAGGACAGTTCCCACGTCTGTGTGGTAACACCACTGTCCTTGTGGGCTGTTTGGATTGTTCTGTTGCAATATATTTCAGTTTAAAAACAAAAAGTACCCAAACCCTAAAACCACAAAACCCAGACTTCCTTATTGTGTTACTAAGGTACATAACCTGTGAGAGCACCAGATTGAGAGATGCTCCTCTGCTGCCTGCCCTACAGGCTCAGAAGATCTTCAGAGTGGGAACATGGGGCTTTGCCTTGGGTGCACAAGTAGCCACACAGTTGAGGTATCAGCTGGAGAAAGAGAACCCAGCACTGGACAAATGTGCTTGTCCCTGTCCACCCACTGCAAGACGCATAATTCAAAAGACTCATATACTGGAAGTTCATAGCACTTCCCAGGACCAGACTTAGGCACAGAAGAAACATACTGTTGCCCAGGGCAGGAAATGTCCCACTGCATCAGTGCTAAATGGTGTGATGAAAGGGTGTCCAAGATACAGACACTGCCAAGCAATCCAGCTACAGTCATCACCCAACTGTGGCCCAACTGCGGCCCAACTGCTTCTACCAAGAAATCTCCATAGGAGTGTAGAGTTACAGCTCTCTCAGAAACACCTACCCTTAAAACCATTCCTAAAGTGGTGCAGGATCAGTAAATACAACTTCAGTGTGATTGCTCCTAGCCTTTCTTCTTCCCAGCACAATGTCTGTGTCTGCATGGCTCACTGCAACTCCCTCCCCTCTCTGCTCCTGCAGCGTAAGTGAGCAGAGCTCCTTGTTTGGATGTGTCATGGATGGAATAGGTGGGAGACTGCTTAACACTCTGGGAACTGACCTATTGGAGAACGGAGACCCAGGGTGATGAAAGGAGAGAAGACGACTTAAACTCTGTTTCCTTTGTTTTCCAGAACCCCATTTGATTCTCTGTGACATTTCCCAGTGCTCCCAGCTGCCCTGATGCTGGCTGGGGAGATGGGACAGACCCTGGCTACCAGCTCTCACCCACCATGGGGAGCCCCCACTGCTCCCAGGCCCCAGAGATGGTTTGTACTGAGAGATGCTTTGTACTACTCAGTATTATTTACAGCTAGAGAGAAATACCTGCAAAAGAAAAAGTTTCTTTGTACTCATTGGATTCCTAAGAACAAAGTGGTTCTGTACAACAGAAAGGAAAATTTAACCAGCTAATCGCTTGTTCACATTATATGAAATCATGAGTTGTGCAATTACAGGAATTTGGTAAGAATCAGGAGGGAAGTGATGAATGTCATATCCTGCAACACTTCCGACAGTACGACAGTTCCCCAAAACGCAAGCAGTAAGGGAAACAGCCCTATTTATAGCCATGCAATCATTTAAAATACCAGTCTTTTTATCTTCTCTGATCTGGAAGACTATGATACAAAGATAAACAAGATAAAGATGCTTTGAAATAGAAGGTAGGTCTATCTTCATCTTTCCATCTATTTTGTTTGCTGAGGTATTCAATGAGACTCTAAGAAGTCCAGGGCTGGAGGGGTGATGTCCCCTTGTCAGAGGAATACATGGAGCTAAGTTGAATGAAGGTTTTTTTGCAAATAAAGTACTGTCTGCTAAGAAATGTCCTAGCCACACTTTTCATTTGATTACTGTGATTGATACTGAATTGTAGGAACTAGATATCAATCCTAGATCCACTTTAATGTATATATGCAAAAATATCCTTGAAAGTACAGGAACTTTCATCAAACTTAGCATACTCACTGTTGGGTAACTTGAGCTGATTGATATCGCTGTGATCCATTTTGGTATTTTCTGTTTGCAGCTGTTTACCCATCTGCTTGATGTCTATTCATCCTAACTTTTCTATATGGCAGATAGATAAATTAGACCTTAAGAGAGCAGTCACCAAATGTAGGTATGTAACATTTATGCAGTGGTCCCCAGATCAGCAGCTTTGTAAATCATCAAAACAAAATGTTTTGTTACAGAAAAGTACAACTTCTTTAACTTTGTTGCTGTTTATTTGAACATTTCTCTGACTGTTTGAGAAGTCTGTTGAATTTTTCCTCCCACCAGAACTGAGAGATGGTCAGGCAGTGTAGAAGCAGGCATATGAGCAGGTCAGACTACATAAATTTAGGAAAGAGTGGTTCACATCCACATCTTTCACCTTCATCACGTTTCACTGTTTTCTGCCTCCAAGGAGGAAGATATGGTTGCTTCTCTTGCACTCATCTTCGTGACTCAGTGGATGTTGCTGATCACTCAGTTGTGTGTTGGCTGGCACTGCACAGACTGTGAGTAGAACACTTTCATGGAGCAGTCCGCTGAAGGGGAGTGTAATGTGCTTCTTATTATGAGTAGCTGTGCTTAAATTGCCTTCTGCCTTATATGTCATGGGTAATAACCTCTACACCCAAAAATCTGGGAATCTGCACCTTACTGGTCCTACTATGTGATACTTGCAGCAGAGATGCCAGACTCACCTATTATAAATTTGATGCTGAATCAGTGAAAAATGGAACTGAGTTGGATAAGAAGCATGAATTTTACTGAGGACCAATGTTCAGTGACTGCAGGAGATATTACCAAGACTATAATGGTGACACCATGCTGATTATCTCTAATCACCTCCATCTTCTATATGATCCAACATAACTTCTAGGAGGATCTGTTGCATGACTTTACCAAGCATGGAGGTGAGATGTGCTGGTTAGTAGCTCCCATGTTCCTCTTTATGACCCCTTAAAATGGGTGCAGTATTCTCTTTTATCTGGTCACCAATACATTGCCTGACTGCCATGAATTTTTAAAGGTGGGAGAGAGTCTTGGGTGACATGCTTTAGTGTGTGGTGCTCCTGCCCATGGCAGGGGTGTTGGAACTAGGTGATCTTAAGGTCCTTTCGAACCGTAACTATTCTATGATTCTATGATGGAGCAACACCATCATAAAATATGGTGATTGGCAACAACCACCAATATGATTGGCAACATTAGCCAATTCCTTGGGGCCCTAAGATGCATGTTCATTGGGTCCCAGGGATTTATGTATACTCAGATTCTTCAGGTGGTCTTAAACCTGATCCTCTTTTATGAGGGAAGAAACTTCATTTCCCCAGTCCCTGCCTTGAGTAATGTTCAGGTACTTGAGATGTGTGGGAAAAGTGATTTCCAGAGAACGAGTCACAAATTTGTTGAGTTCCTCAGCCTTCTCCATGTAAGTTTTCACTAGTTCTCCTGTCTTATTTACCAGGGGCAGAACACTTTCTTTAATCTTTCCTTTTTGACCAACATACCTGAAGAATCCTTTATTATTAATTTTTACATTCCTTGCCAAATTCAGTTTAAATTCAGATCCAAACTTTCAGTAGCAGACAGGAGATCTAGAACTCGGATCCTGTGTAAATGGCTTACTTGAAAAGTGCCATGACTTCATGAAAAGGCAGCTTCTGATTCTGATTTAGTCTGTTTTCAGTGCTTATGCAGAGAAGACAGCAAACCAAGCAATTCCTGTTTTGCAGCTACTGTGTTTGTTAGGCAAATTCACCATCCTCTACAAGGTGTGCAGATACTTCAAAGCAAGTCATGAATTTTTCCTCTTAGGATTATAATTTTCCCTGTACATGTGTTACTCTGGCTTTAGCTAAATTTCCTTCCTCTGCAGCTCAAAGCTGTCTCCATCCATTTGGCAAATACTGTAAATCTGATTGGGTAGATAATCTCCAAAATTGTTTCAGGAACAGGAACTATAAAAGGAAGGTATTGGTTTTGACAGTCTATTTTACGTGAATACAAAAGGGGTGATTTACACTCCACTACTGTGACAAGCAACATGACAATGTTTCTCTGAAAAAAAAAAAAAAAGATTCCTACAAGTAGCTCAACAGTTTTGCAGTCCTCTGTTGCCATCTTTTCAATTGCCAATTCTCTTTTAATTCTTTGTGCTAATATTTTATTGACTGCATTTAATGTCTTCAAAATGTTACTAAAAATCCAAGTGAAACAGGTTAGTGCCTGTAGCTTTGAAATTCTTCACAGAGAAATCTGTCACATCTTGAATTTTGTCATGGTGTAGTGCCCAACAGTTTGCAGTGTCCTATTCACAATAATGAAAGGTCTGAGAAAGTTTACTCCTCTTTGTATGAGAGGGGTAACATATATGAGACTGTAAAGAGAATGAGGTACAATATCTGCTCATTCAAGCAACATGGATTTGCATATACAAAATGGCACTACTTCCTATCTCATCAAGCTCAAAGTGTTGGCTGATGCCTTCTAAAAGGATAGATAAATCGTCCTTCCTTTTAAAAGGTATGTTTAGTCTCCCTATTGGGTTTTCTTGGGGGTGGGGAAAGGAGTAAATTGTTTGTGACCAGGAGAAGACTCCTCATGTTCATCCCAGGTGGAGGAAGGTATTGCTGCAGAGCACAAACACCTCACAAGTTTGCATCTACACCTACCTTGAGTCTTGAAAAACTCCACAGCTCTGTCCTTGGGTTTCAATCCTTCTCTGGAGTCCATAGGAAAGCTCCTCATGCTCTTCACTCATTTGACAGCGTGCTGAAGAAAAACTAGAAATGCTGTGGCAGGGTTCTGAAGGATGAGAGACTAATTATTCACTTTGTGGCATTGCGGCACCAGTGTCTCCTTTTGAATAGGAACAATTCAAAGCACAGGGGTAGCCACTTTAGGTGTCAGCCTGTGGTACTGTCGGCTTCCCTGAGGTTTATTTTATCAGATGCAACTATATTCATATCCTTGGAGACTTTATCCATGACAAATTCTTTACTGAATCTGTTAGTGTAAATACCTTCTATGTCACTCCCTTAAAATGAAGCAAGTCATTCCTGACCCAATCAGAAACTAGCTGGAGCTGCAGGTGTGCCAAGATCCTCCAGCTTGGAGCAGTCACATGATTTTTACACATCATGGATATTCCTGTTTCTGCAGGCATGAATGGATCAGCCATTGAAAACTTCTCCTGTGTGATTTATAACATTTCCCTCATGAGCTGCACTTGGCAGGCAGGCAAGGATGCTCCAGGAGATACCCAGTATTTTCTCTACTGGCAGAACTCCAGGTAAGTAGGTCTGCTTGAGCCTAGGGAAGTCCAAATTCTCATTCAACACATCACATTGCCCATGTTTATCTAAAATACCTTGCTGTATATAGATATGATGATTCGATGGAATGTGAGCTTTACATTAAGGATGAAAATGGCAGAAATACAGGATGTAGATTCCAAAATGTGAGGATAGAGACTGAAAAAGCTTACTTCCTGGTGAACGGCTCTAGCAAAGACTCCCTGATCCAGTTCTATGATGAGTACATTCAACTGTATAAAATAGGTAAGTAAATAGTTTATTTATGCTTTATTTTCATTAGTGCATGAGGGTGGTAGCGCATTTTTCCCTGAGAAAGAACCAGGTACCCTGTCTCACCTAGAGCTGAGAGAAATTGTGGCCTCTTCAAGAAAAAACTATTCCTCAGGCAACAGAACAATGAGGAAAATAAGCAAGAAAGCTCTACTGCTGCAGCCTGCCTCAGATTCTTTAGCTATTGCTCATTGGTTTTAGTTTTAGCAAGGTCCACAGGACTTAAGAGATTGTACTTCCCCTGCCGTACTTTCAATGGTGGCCAAAAACCTTCCAACAGAACAGACTGGTCAAGAGAAGTTTATCTGAACAGTGATTTCGGTTTCTCATTGCCAGCTGGGATGGCACACACCACCACTATACCCCTGGTTAGAGAAATTAATATACGTACAAAATATCCTAGATTTTCATATGCTCTTTCACATGTGGTGCTCTACTTGTAAGCATCCTGTGTAATTATTTTTACTGTGGCAAATCTTTTCCGGCAAAGTCCCATTGGTTTGGGAATTTTCTCAAAAAAATGGGCAAACAAGGCTACATTCTGTAAGGAGAAGAATTGAGCTATGCCTTTGTAAGCTCCTGAGTCATGTTCCCTGGCTTAGTCCCCATTTCTACTGATTCTGAGGACAGGATTTGAAGATCTATGGTCTTTCAGTTATTTCTAAGAGATTTCCTAAAAAAAAAAGGATACAAATCGATATCTTAACATAGGTGTTACTTGCAATTTTTTTTTTTATCAAAGCAAAAAGAGAACAAGTTATTTTAATTATTTGAATTCCTGGTTATATAATTTCAGAAAAGCTCATGCCTCCAGCAAATATCACTGTCAACTGTGCTGAAATCAAAAACAATTGCATTATTCAATGGCAACGACCCCAAATAAGTCATTCTAACAAAGACAAGTGTTTTAAATATGAAATTGACATAAAGTATAAGGTAAGAGAAATTTCTTCACCTACATTTAACATTAATCCATACATTCACCAATGCACATAGGTGAAAAGAAAATCAGTCTCTCTTGCGCAGTGTAGACTTCCTGATATGTAACACCATATTCCTTTGAGGTTGTACCTTTCAGGCACCTTTTTATGCTATAGCACCCCAGTTTTGTATCCTTGCTCCCCTGAGTGAGATATTGCTGGAGATACACTAGATGACTATGACTGCGTGGAACTAAGAACAGAAGCATGGTTAATCAAGATTTGAACATACCACGACTTTGGCTCTTCCAAAACTCAGAAAATGCATTTATTTCACCAAGACCTGTTGTAGATGTCCTGGAGGCCTTTTGGTGGTATCTCTGTGAAAAGGTAGAGCTGGGATGAAATTACTGAATAGAGGAATGTGCACCCACTTAACAAGTAAAATTTGATGGAGGTGAATGAATCTTTTCTATATATGAAATGTAAATAGCTTATCCAGATATCATATGTAAGCAACACACCCATTGGTCCAAAAGTTGAAGCTGTATAATGTTAATTAAAAGGAAAATAAATGTGAGAGAAAGCAGAAAGGTGGTGCGAATAAACATAGGTTACTGAGGGAGTGATTTAAGCTACTGAAAGTCAATTTCAGACGTTGGCTTTTCACAGAGATAGGGAAGGAGTGAGATTGCCGTGTTGGGCTGCAAAAGGAGTAAACCTAAACTGTGGCAGAATTGCGGCAAATGACCACAGGGTGGCAGACGGTGACTACAAAGGAAAACCTGCCTGTACTGCAACTAGGTTTGGCCACTTAGTGGCTGGGTGAAGGCATTCCCTAGATTTCTGCTATTGGGAATTTAGTGTGGATCGGGCTTCCTATTTCATAGCAATATACATAACACCATGAATAACAGAAATTCAATCACATTTTACATGTGTGACGCTGATAAACTGAATTTGCTGAGACTCTCGGTTTCTTCTTCAGCCATGTTTTAAGTTAAGGCTTTATAGATCAGGATATCTGGGAAACCTGAAGGCTAACCTTTCCAGTGAAAATGGAACTAAAAAGGTATCAAACACCTCAGTCTTCTCCACCTCCCTTGTCACTAGGTTTCCCCAACTCAGTGGGCTGTATTCCCTTTAACCTCCCTTACGCTTCCACTGCACTCATAAAAACTTTTCTCATGTTCACTTCCCTCACTAGTCTCAATTCCAGCTGAGATTTGGCTTACCCAATTCCATTCCTGCATGTGCAGATGATGTCTTTGTGTTCCTCCCAAATCCTTTCTTCTACCTTCCGCATACTTCCTTTCTGTCTGTGAGCTCAAACCCAAGCTTCATGCCCTGCCATGCTCACCTGGCACTCTTGCTCTGTTTTCTGCATTCTGGAATGGACTCCTTTTGTGCTCTGGGGAGGCTGTCCTTGTAGATCAACCAGTAACTTTGCACTCGAGGCCAGGGCAGTTTCCCTTGATTACAGGAAAAGCCTGTGGCTAGGAGGCTTTCCCAGGCTGCCTGAAGATGGTCTCATCTGCTCTTTTTCTTGATTGGGAGATCTGGAACAAACAGTGCACCTGTTCTTGTCTGCCCTTTGACACCTGGTCATAAGCTGTCTTCCTGGTTCACCATTTGTCTCAAGACAGAACCCTGCATATTAAAGGAACTCCTTTATATGAAGCACAAGAACCAGGCTAGCAAGGCTGTTTGCAAGGGTACTCACAACCCACTTGGTAGGATGCATCACATATATGCTGAGCAGCCCCCGTTTCTCAAAAAGGGTCCCAAGGTCGCAGAAGCCAAAGCCCTGCCTGTGACACCAGGTACTCAGGTGTTGACCTGCTGGATGATTGCAATTCTACTCAAGCCTTTTCCTCTCATGGGAGGTACTGAGGAGATACCATCTGGGCTTCCTGCCCTTCATTGTCCCTCCAGTGGTTACCCCGGCCACATCTCTGATGCCCACACAGAAAAGCAGGAAGGGGTAATAGTTTAATTGCCAGACAAGTCTGGAAGTCCTTCTGCATCATCCTGGATCCTGGCACCCAACAAACAACAGGCCTTCATCAGGTCAGGAAGTTGGTGCCATCACCCCCTGCAGGAAGGAGTCTCTTTCATCTATCATACATATTTTCTCCTTCATTTTCTAAAATGCAGTACCCTTTAATACATCTTTTCTTCCAAAATTCTCAAAGAAACAGCTGTCCTTCTGGAGCTGCACTTCTGAAGCCTTCCATGACCTCACTGTTTTCATTTCTCATAGATTATTTTGCTATAAACACAAGAAAAGGGAGACCGTAGTGTTGCACTTTCCCCTAGACTGATCCCTGTGCTTAAATTAGGGGTTTTTACAGATTCTAGAAGCTGTCCTGTACATCAGCATGCCTTGCAAAAAACTGTTCAGGTGCCACATGAGCATGCATGAAATTATTTGATAAAAGAGTTTAGATTAATTTTATTTTGGTTTAAAATGGAGTAATACAAAATGTAAAATATTAAATAAAATATGTAGCTCTAGCAGACTAATGTGATGGTATAGTCTACAGCTATTAGTTCTGTGTAATCACCACATTTTGTAGTAGTCCTTATGGCTATTCGGAAGGGATGAGTGAATTTTTATTCTATAAAAAATGTAATTGGAGGGCAGCCTAAAATATCCCTGAATCCATGTCAGTCCTGAGTATTTTCATCTGAGGGAAAGTAATTTTATATAGCATTTGTAACTAAGTATAGTGACATTTGTTTTAAAATATAAGCATTAGATATAAACTAAAAAGTTTATTTACAGATTTCTACCTTTTTCTTTTCAAGAATAAACTTGCAGTTTTATTCAGGTCTGGTTTGCTTGGTGTTTCAGTTTACTCATCAATCTGAAATAAAATTTATTTCTCACCTCTGGTGGTCAAGAAAACAAATAGTAATACTTTCTCACAGAAGAATTAGTTATAACATAAACTTGGATTTGTAGGCAAATTATAAATTAGATAATAAATGTTAGATAAATTACTAGTTCTTACTAACAACCTGTCAATTAGATGAGAAAGAGTAATGCAGAAAAAGGGGACTGTAGATAAAAATGACTTATTATCTAAACACAAAACTAATCTTTTTTCTCAACTTACAGGATAATCCTGAGGGAAAAACCATCTATACTTCTATACAAGTAGGTTTGCTTGTTCTATTAATCAGCAATATGGGTTAATTTCATAGTGTGAAAAATAAATGGCACTCAAATGCCTTTAAATCATCATGTGTCCGATGTCCTGCGCTTTATGGGATCTTTATAGATTTTATGAATGTGTCAAACTTTAAATCATCATGATATATGTCATTTTTTATACACTCAAAGGCAGAACTTTATTACTATTCTTCAAGTATTTTGAAAAACTTTCCATTTCACATTACATTGGCCACTCTCCCCATCAAATATTTGGAACAGAATTTGAAGTTACACATCAGTGACAGCAGAGAAAAGACACACAGTGAAAACACCTCCTAGGCATTTAATTTTGTTTATAAAAAAAAAACAAAGACCACAAAAGCCCTTTGGGATGGAGGCTGCCTTCCAGGTATGCTGCACCTCTGTCCAATCAGTGCAACTTGCACATCCCACCTCTATCTTGAAAGTCTTCAATAGTGGGCGTGTTTCAGTAAATTCTAGTAACACCAACTATTGCAGTCTTGTATTTATTTTACAGGTTTGGCTGGAAAGTTACACTTTTCCTGAAAAGTCATAGTGCACAGACTGAGGAAGATGAGGTGCACACAGACAGTTTATTCATCAATTCTGTCTCCTCAGTTCTACCAGTGTTGAAATGAGACAGCTCAATATATTTTTCTGCCTCTGTCAATGTGCTGAGGAAAATTACCAGTACATCATATATATCATTAGAAATTACAAGACATAGTGTAAAATACGAAAAGCTTCTAAACTTAAAATTTTTTCTGAGTGACTGGTTATTTTTAGGATACACAGATGTGTACATGTCATGTATATAACAAATATTAACGTGTAATTTTTTGCTCTGGATCAGCAGTCTACTTTATAAAGCAATGTTCCCACAGCTTCATGGAAGTTTCATGGGTAAATGGCACTTGCATATTATCAACACCTAGACATGCAACAAAATAAAACACAGCTTTGCTTTGTTTTTAGGAAGGGGGAAATAATCACACGTTTCAAAGATACAACACAAGAAAGAAGTGTCTCTTGCAAATGAGGGCAGCTGGCAGTGTCTGCTTTGTGAGCCCAGCCTGGGGGGAGTGGAGTGCACCTGTAGAGTTTGGTAAGACCAAATCCATGCCTTGGGCTACTCATCCCTCAGTGATGTCTTGTCTACCTCACACACTGATTCGCATCTACAGACACACAGATCTATAAAGGCTTGGAAACATTTTGTTTCACTCCACACTGCAGAGAAGAGGAGGAATAGACTTAATAAATCTCTTAGCACTCTAACACTGGAAATAAATATAGAAAGTTACACATCTGCAGCTGAAGTGCTGTCATGGTTTAAGTACCACTACCAAGTACCATGCAGCTGCTTACTGCTGCCCAGTCCTGTTTACTGCATGGGATGGACAAACAGGCTCAATGTTAATCCTTCCCAGCAGACGTTACTGCAAAGGTGCTAAATTAAAGACTTGATCTTTATATCAACATTTACCTGTCAGTCACCAGAGTCGATGTTTGACACAGCTGTGCATCTACTCCTCTTTATCGATGATAATACTTTATGACTATTTGCCTTTCAGGAAATGAAGAAATTATTTCTTTTTCAGTATGGATCTTACTTGTGGTAGCAGTTGGGACAATTTTAGTGGCAATTGTCACAATTTTATTCTGCAAAAGGTAAAAAATTTATGCATATATTTTGTAGGTGCATGAAACATCTGCAGTTCTTAAACAAATGAGGTAGAGGTGTCTCGGTACTATAGATACAACTTTTTCACTCACACTGTACTAGAAATCAATCAAATGAGTGATTCTGAGAAAAGTATGATAACGGTGATGCCCAAAGTCCCTCCCTGTCTGATCCATACAAGTTTTTCCTCGACCTCTTGTATCAACATGGCAAGGAGACCAATTATATGCAATTATATGTTTGGTTACCAGTAAAGATTTTGAAACATTCACTAGCATTATCCTAGTAAACTGAATGTATCTGAAAGCACGCAAGCTAAACAGCTTGCTTCTTAAAATAGACCAAGCAGAACAGAAAGAAAAAGGATGTTTTTCTGCGTCAAACACTTTGTATAGAAATACACAATAATTCAGAGAAGATACTGTTCTTCCAACTTGTGAAAATTTTAGCAGCCACTTTCGCTGGTTGTAGTGACTTAAAGAGCAGGACAAATTCATTTTCCGTTCAAAGAAAATAACTGTAGTGAATCCTTAACCGAAAATGAAACTATTACTACTCAAATTATTAGTATTTTCCTGATATGTGTTCATTCTGTGCTGAGATAATGTGAGGGTTTTTATTTCTCTTCTGTGCTGTAAGAGAAAAATAAGAGCTGGTTCAAGGGTACAATGCTTTTGGCACAACTGTTACTTATTTTTAACTTTATATTCCATCCCTTTTGATATTCAGGACCGGCTCCTGGAAAGCAGCATTTCCACAAGTCCCAGAGCCAAAAAATGCATTTTGTGGACTGCCTGATAATACAGAGGTATGTTCTCTTTCTATTTAATATTAAACGTGTTAAGTATGTACAAGACTCTACTGCAGGTATTTTTAAAATTAGAAGGAACTTAACACAGAGAATGACTCTTCCTTTGCCGTATTTTGAGGAATTACAAGAGGAAATCAGCAGGCAAATTTGTTAAGAGAACTCAAATACAATGCTCTTACAGAACCAGAAATTTTCTCCTGTTCTAGTCCCATATGTGCTGGGGCTGATGCTCCCCCTGGTAGGTCCAGGCAGCAGCAAGGGCTGTGTTTTCCCAACATGAGGCACACATATGTACAATGACACACACATAGAGGACACTAATGCAGGCAGCCACAAAGACCAGCACAGGGGCCTTTACCAGCAGCGTGTCAACACCACCAGCAGTCACATAAACAGGGTCACAGACATCCCACTCCTCCTGTTCCTCGCCAGCTGAGGAGGGCTGAAGTTTGCCAGTGAGAAGTGCATAAACCCTCACTCTCTTCAGGTACAACAACCATAAATTTGCAAGCTCCTCACATGTGATCTCTGTGTCTGGATCCTGGGTCGCCCCATCAGGTCACCACATCTCACCTTTGGTCCCTGCAGCTCTCTCCTACCCACCCACTAGTCCCAGCTTCAATGAGTTTTGTTGTTTGAAGTTACACACACAAGATAGAAAGCAAGGTGACACAGAAAACAGTTCAAAATAGGATTTTGTAAGGTAACAGGACAGACTGCAGTGGTCACACGTGGCATTTGACCAGCATGATGACAAGCAGCTCTATCCCAGCTGAAAACAAGACACCTTATATATAAAACTAATGGAAGTTCTTATTTTTCTTTCAGCTGATGGAGAGCAAAATTCAGGCAATAACATCTGATAAGGAAGAGATAACATTAGTTGTTGACATACTGAAATAACAAAAATCCCTGAGAAATTTGAAAATGTATTTCTTAGCTCAGACAAGTGTATATTCCTGTGGAAAGTCTGGAATAATGTACAGGTTTCCTTCAGTTTCTTCCTTTTCTTGGCAAAACCAGTAGTGAAGCCAAAAGAGAATGATACCTCACATGTAATTTTTTTAAATGCTATTGTATTTACTTTTAGCTAAGTTTGACTGTTTGGGTGACTTCTCATTTTTGTGAATATGACTGAAATATTTCAGTCAAGAAATTTTAGTTACATTTTATTTTGTTTAAAGAAAAATAATGAGTTTGTTTTATATTAAAAAGATTAAGAATGAATTTATTGAGATAAATTTTTTTTATAAAATTTCTGGTGCCTGAATGCCATTGTTCTGCTGTCAAGAATGGGCCTATTCATATTTGAAGTTTTCTTGTATCTCTTATTAAAGCTACTAGAAAATTGAGAATGGGATTGAAAACAAGCTGCCAGAAAGTGGTGGCCTCTAATCAACAGGAATCTCAAAGGACAGGAATAGTCTAAAACCCTAACTGATGCTAGAGCTTACATGTGTTGCAGAGATCATCCACCATTTACTTGACATCAGCTCAGAATTTACTTCTATAGGTATCCAGCTTGTTATGTTCTTACTGCTCACTTGCTTTTTTACTACTTTAATTTAGTATTGTAAAATATTGAGTGCATGACTCAGTTAATCTATGTTCTTTTGTTCAAATAGAGGGGTTTACTATTGAGCTGAACAGTAAGTTTTCAGAGCCATAGAGTTAGGACAAGGTATTGGGAAAACAGCCCAGGCTGTTGTTGAATGCACTGACTGGTCATGAGCAATTCTCCTCAAGGATCAGTGCTGAGACTCACAGCTGTTAGTACTAACAGCTATTTGGACAATGGGAAGAAATGCAGCTTTGGCAAGACTGGGTGACAGCAAACTGAGAGCACCTCCTGATATAGTGGAGGGCAGGCCTGCCATTCAAAGGGTTCTTGACAGGCTGAAGAAATGGGTTGATAGGAACCTCTTAAGCAAATGCAAAGCCAAATAGCTGGGAAAAAACAGCTGCATGTATCCTAGAGAATGGCTGAGTGACAGGTCTGCGGAAAAGGCTCTGAGGCTTTGGTAGGCAATCAACTGAACACAAACCAGAAGTGTTTCCTTATAGTAATGAAAACTATCCACATACTGGGAGGAGCAGATGCAGCAGTCAAGGATTATTCCCTCTATTCAGCACTCATGAGTCTGTACGTGCAGTTCCAGATTTCAGCCTCCTAGTACAAGCAAGACATCAATGCTGCTGGGAAAGTTCAGCATCAGGACACCAATTTGATTATGGGGGTCTTAAGGAACTGGATTTTTTCATCCTGGAGAACAGAAGCTAAGGGGATCTACTAAAGTCTTCCACTGCATATAGAGAAGACGGAACAAACTTGTTGCACAGTGTGAGAAGAAGGAACAGTCACAAGCTGCAGCAAGAGAAAGTCCAATTTGATATGAGGAAAAAGAATGATTTACAAGGGAAAGTGGTTGAATGGTCTCTGTAACGGGTGTCCAAGGCTCCACCCTTGGATATATTCAAAACGCAACTGAACAAGTAACTGGACCTGACACTGGCTCTGCTTTAAGTGAGAGATTGGACTCAATGATCTTCAGAGGTACATTCCAACCTAAGTATTTCTTTAAATATTTCTCTAAATGGTTCTAGTCAAAGCTGGCCAGTCTTTCTAAGTCCCTGTTGTGAAACAATGGTATCTATTTGTACATGTAAAGCAACTGGAAGAGCTGGAGTCTTACTGTGTAATGGTAGTTGCCTACCTAGAGAGCTACTGCATAAAACGTGCCTCTTCCGCTTCACTCAGAAGCATCTTCTTCAACATAAGTCTTTGTAAGAGCTGAGTAGTCAGTAGAGACTGTGAGGGCAGCATACAAGACAAGAGGCAAATACCCTTACCTCCTGAGATATCTCTTGATAAACATCAGAGAGATCAGGAGCACAGCAACAAACTATTTTACTGGTATATTTTGATTTCTGGATTCCTTCCTTTGGGAAAGGAGCATATTCCAGCAAGAAAGTAAGACTTTGAGCAAGTAATAGCAGAGCACAGACAAAACTTCCATCTTCGGTTGAAAGTCTAATTCTTTACAAAGCTCAGCCTTGATCTGGAGTTATACCAAAAGAGTCTTATCACCTGATTCCCCAGCTCAGATGGCTGGTTAGTGAACCATCTACTTGTCCTACCTGAGGATGCAGTGCTGGAAGCTCACCTTGACTTCTAAGGTGGTCTTAAGACGTAAAGAGAAAATGTTCAGCAGTTTCTCCTCTTATCAGAATTAGCCTTTGAGCACTTTTATTCACAAGAAAAAGAAGTTTAATTTCTGACTAGCCCCATTAATTTTGACAATTCATTTATCTTGCTGCTTCTTTTGGTCTTCAAGATTCAGATTTTGGGGTTTCACAATATTTTTCATAATTTGGTGAGGAATCACTGACACATCAGGCTTTGCTGTTAAATTGCTTTTCACTTTGAGACTCAAAGGCTCAGATTTCTATACTAGACATTTGAACATAGCTATTTGATTATTAGGCCAATTTTAGAATTATACTAGACATTTGATTATTACGCTAAATACTCCCAAGACTACTTTCTTGCATTGAGGCCAATTGCCATGTAAGAGCCCAGATACATTTTATTAAACCCTTAAATAAGGTGGACACATGTAAACTGCCTTTAGAAATTACCACTGACCTGAGCTAACTTCTGGACTATGTCCAGGAGATGTTTGAGGACATTGCCTGCAAATCCTGGCCAAACCAATGCTGGGAACAGTTGTTCCTGGACATGTTCCAGTGCTGGGGAGTCTTTCAGTTACCAGAGTAGCCCAAGGCCATACCCCACAATGTCCAGTTTCTATGGTAGCTGGATGCAAGCAGCTATTGGCACACCCACTGCCCTAGCAGACAAAGTTAATGATTGCCTTCTGGTCAAAGAATCACCTGGGAAGCTTTCCACAGCAGATCAGAACAAGGACAATTTCTTAGCAAGTCTGAGTTCATGCTGGACACATGGGTAAACCATCTTTCTGTTTCTCTCAGTATGCAGCAGTGGCCAGAGTTGAAATGCTCACAATCACTTGCTGAAAGAGTGATGAGGCTGTATTAGACTACACTAGTTTATACAACCTTTCATAATATTGTTCCTTGTGGGCAAAATTACCAGTGAAGCATAGTTTGGCTCTAATCCATCAAAACCTAGCCATGAGCTATGAACTGTTCAGTGGCTGTCAGGAAGGGAATAGGAAAGTATAACAAAGAAGATACCAAGATACTCAGAAGCTGGTATTATGGTCTTGTTAAATAGAAGCTAAACAGTTTCCTGCTTTATCCTGGAGAAAGTTAACATACTTCCAACTTACTCAGGAAAGGTGTTACACCCATATTTAAAAAAAGGCCAAAAGTTCAACCCAAAGAACTCATAGGCCTATCAACCTGGAAAATTCATAGCGTGAATGCTATTGGAACACATTTCTGGGCACATTAAAGAGAGGGTCATTGGGAACAATCAGTATGATTTTACCAAGGATAAATGGCTGTGAAAACTGGGGTATCACAGGGGTCTATCCTGGGACCTGTCTGGTTTAACATCTTTCTCAATGACTGGGAAGAGGTGATGGAGTGCATTGTCACCATGTTTGCAGATGACACCAAACTGGGGTGCCAGCTGATTTGCTCAAGACAAGGACTCCCATCCAGAGGGACCCAGACAGGTTGGAGGAATAGCCCAAAGGGAACCTTGAAATAATCCAATGCTCATTTGAATTTACATTGTCTAGAAAAGGAAAAGGTAAAAAATATATCATTATTTAAAAATACGTTTTTCAAAAAGTGTTTGAAAAATCATGCTATGCATTTCCCAGAACTCTGTGCATAACAGCAGCACTTCTTCATCTGTTATAAGCCAGCTTCATACAACATTTAGCAACTTCTTGAAGGATATGACACAATTGTTTCATCTACTGCTTTTTTGGTTGGTTACATTTCTGAAGCTTTAGTTAGCCTAGTGTTTTTCTCAGACCTCCTCCTAACTGCAAGTGCTAAACCAACCAGATCACTCTACACTTGTGGACCAAGACCTCTGGTGCTGGAAGGAGCTTTCTTGGAAGAACTGGAGACATCTCTGCCCACCCCTGACTGCTCCAGAGGGAGTCGCAGCTGCTCACATTTCCAGTACTGAACTAGAATAAAACACAGAATGATATATTAAATAAAACCTGCTGGCTTATCATGAACACTAGATAGTAGTAGATAGCTGTAGGCTGTGACAGTTCACAAGGTGTTGAGATGTCTGTTCCCTGTCATCTCAGGGGACATGCTGAAGGGGAACGCAAAAGATTTCATACATATTGAAGGAAGCTGGTCCCCAGTAGATTCACAGTCCTGGGATTGTCCATGGGGGTAGCAGAGCCCATCACACCACCCACTGAGGGAGCACAGGCCGTCAGACACTGAGAACAGGGGGAAGATTGAATTGCTGAGGTGAGTAGCTCGAGAGAGGACGCCTTCAACACCGGAGCAGGGGGGGAGATCAGCGTCCGGGAGCCTCAACTCAGAGCGACGAGAGCCACCGAAGGAGCCTCAAGTCCTCGACAGGACCTGCCCAGGAGCCGGCAGCTCAGCTGACGAGAGCGAGCAGCTGACTCACACGGGGCGGAGCCTGAAGCAGCGGCACCAGCCCTGACTGGGGAAAAACCTGCCCCGGGGAGCGAGAGCGAGCAGGAGAGGCAAACAGCGAGGCGGGGCAGTTCGCGCGGGCAGGGGAGCGGGATGGTGAGCGCTTGAGTTGTATGAGCAGGGCCCGGTCCGGGATCTCTGCTCTGGCTGCCCCGGCGGTGGCCAGCGTAGGCACCCAGACAGAGCCGATGAGAGGGGAGGCTGCAGTGCAGAGCTCGGGGTGTAGAGAGGAGAGTGCCTGCACTGGTCTGGTGAGGGGAGGGTGCACAATGGGCAGGGCTGCACTCGGTGCTCCCTGGTGGAGGTCCTCCGGCAGCAGGGGCTGAGCTGCGGGACGCTGTCAGTAGCTGTAAGGTGTCAGGGAAGCGGAGGGGGAGCTGGGCTGCTTGATCCAGGCCCAAACTGTGCAGGGGTCTCAAGCGTCCACTGTAGCTTATGGAGGAAAGAAGGAGGCCACTAACCCAGGAAGCTGGGAAACAGTAACAAAAAAAAAACAAAAAAAAAAACCAAAAAAAAACCCACACAACAAAGAAGGAAGAGGACAGTTAAAAGCATGGGGTTTCCTCCTAAATCTGTTGTCCCCACCCAGAACGGCTTTGCTGTTCTGCAGGGGGCTGATGAGGAAACACAGTCACACCATGAACAGCCGGCTGATGCACTGGTAAAGATCTCTACTGGTGCTGCCAGGAAAAAGCGACGGGTCGTAGTAGTAGGGGACTCTACAGTGAAAGAGACAAGCACTCATCTGTCGGCCTGACCCTGCCTCAAGAGAGGTGTGTTGCCTACCAGGGGCACGGATCAGGGATGTGGCAGAGAGGCTGCCTGCTCTAGTAAGTCCCACTGACTATTACCCACTTCTGGTGATACATGTGGGTGCTAGGGACATAGATAGCAGTAGCCCGGAAAGAAGGACTACAGAGCCCTGGGAGAGGTGGTTAAGGTCTCTGGAGCGCAGACTGTCTTTT